ATAAACACATTTCATTACACCAAATACACCAAATAATGTTCTTTTTAGCAACATCATATGACCCCTTTAAGGACGGCTGTCTGCAATTAGGCCTCAAAATAAATAAATACATAATATATAGTTATCAATTTATAGAATTTTTACTATATTATTCTGCCCTGTTTCTTTATGTAAAACTGCTTTTTTTATTCAGTCATACTGTGTGACACTAAAAATAATAAGAGACATTTTCAGCATGAATAAGCATAAAATAAGTTGAAGTTTTTACTTTTGTGGATGTTAGCATATTGGAGTCTTAACTGCTGGAAACAATATGTCAAAATACATTAACACCTTGAAATGCCCTGCAGTGTGACAGCAGAATTCTGTGCTGTGACTATGCTAAACTCCTCCAAAATTATTTTAAACCAATTTTCATCACCTCAGTGTAATTGCTATATATATATATATATATATATATATATATATATATAATATTTGAATTTATTTGTAATAACCTTCATGTTGAAATGAAAAGTTCATGTCCAAGTCAAGTACACATTAATGTATTTAAATGTGTTTAATGATTTATCTTGTCTCAAAAAAGATTTTTTTTTTCTCCAGTAGAAACATTTAAACCAAACAGCTTTTGTATTAAAAAAACAAACAAAACAAAAACTTAGTAAACAATAAAGGCATATTTTTCACTAAATGAACACAAGATTTCTATATAATTTATTATATTTATTTACTTTTAAAGTTTTCATATTTTAAATAATTTACTTAGTTTTAAAAAATGTATATGTAATAATAAACTTCAATATTAACCAACACAAATGTTTACTAAAATGTCCTTGAACATTAAACATTTTTGAGTGAAAAAATCGCTTAATCTTTGCTGATCTCTGCTGAACTGATTCATTGAAAGTTTAATATTTATCTAACACACATACTTATTTACATTTCAAATTTGCACATATCATACCTGTACATACATAATTGTCTATATTATATATTGTTTTTGCTTTTTTGTACATTGTCTATTTTGTCTATTTTTATATTCTTTTTATTATCCGTGTCCTGTCTTGTCACTGTCATTCTGTTGCACTGTGGAGCTTCTGTCACTAAAACAAATTCCTCGTATGTGTAAACACACCTGGCAATAAAACTCATTCTGATTCTGATTCTGAAAGTTTGAAGGGACTGATTTACGGAAATTAATAAAACTTCCCGTCTCTAGAGGTGGATGCTATTAAAACTTCCCTGCTTTAACAATTTCATACTTGTGGATTGTGACACAATTAGGGGGTGTGAAATTAGCCTACTTACCGGCAAGAAACATAGCAACTTGGTGCCCTAACTGCAACATACTGTAGCTTTTTGTTTTAGTTACTTATGTTGCTTCTCACTATATAGTGAACCTGACCTAAATTTGAGGTATCAGCAGATCTTAAAGCCTGTGGTCCAGACCTCCTGTGCTAATGCAGACACAACTGTTAAAAGATTGATATCACTGTAGATGAAATGGGCCGGAGTACCATCCTCTGTGCTGAAGCACACATGTATTCATGCATTGTAGTTTCTCAGCTGCTGATAGAACAGTGCCTGTATTGCTTTATTTCAGCGCTACACCTCTGATCCTGTTTTTGAGGTGCCATCCAGCATGTTGAAGCTGTATTTCACCTGTATTTCAACATGTGCGACCACCGCCCATCCTGCCCCAGTTCCCCTAAGATTCCCTGAACCGTGCAGGCAACAAAGTGACATTTTGGGATCACAGGGTCCACAGCCTGAGAAATGTGCCATGCTTAAAGGGGTCATATGATGCGAT